CAGAGAAAGTCCCAACAACGGTGACCTAGGGTAACAATGCGTACTAACCAGAAGTGCACATTAAAAGTGCAGTGTAGGAAGGATAGAGTTCATAAAGTAGTCATCAGCATGGGAAGGGTAGATGTATTCCCTTGGTCAGTGAAGGTCCACACGATGGTACAGAGGTGGGCAGAAGAAATCCACTAGATGGTAGAAAACAATCGCTGCTCCACCAAAAAAGCACTGCTCCTCCACTGTGCACAAACGATATCTGGGAGAAAAGGTGCTCCCCACAGGGGATCAAGAAAAAATGCCCATAGTGAAGTAAAGTTTAAAATGTATTTATTAAAATAGGCAGGATGCATCCAGTACAAGTGGCAAAACACAAAAACAGACAGGACTAACCGTCCTGTCGGATGTAGTGGCCGCCGGAGCTCCACGATGCTCCGACAGCGTGACGTCAAGGCGTGCGTAGGCTCCTCCTTACGCGTTACGCGCCAAACACATCTTCAGAGAAAGAACCAGTGCTGGTTGCCACTACATCCGACAGGACGGTTAGTCCTGTCTGTTTTTGTGTTTTGCCACTTGTACTGGATGCATCCTGCCTATTTTAATAAATACATTTTAAACTTTACTTCACTATGGGCATTTTTTCTTGATCCCCTGTGGGGAGCACCTTTTCTCCCAGATATCGTTTGTGCACAGTGGAGGAGCAGTGCTTTTTTGGTGGAGCAGCGATCGTTTTCTACCATCTAGTGGATTTCTTCTGCCCACCTCTGTACCATCGTGTGGATCTTCACTGACCAAGGGAATACATCTACCCTTCCCATGCTGATGACTACTTTATGAACTCCATCCTTCCTACACTGCACTTTTAATGTGCACTTCTGGTTAGTGTGCATTGTTACCCTAGGTCACCCTTGTTGGGACTTTCTCTGATCACTTTTATATATTGTGTCACATATATATTTTCTAGCGCTGCACTTTTATTTTATGTACTGCTTTCGGTTGTTCTTTTACACTGGTTATGTGACCTATAGTGTGGATTCACGCATGTGCAGTGCGGACCGAAGCTCAGGTTTCACAACTAATTGACAGAGTAGTTGTTCAGCAGTTCAGGTCAGGTTTACATCAGGTTCAGGATCAGGATTTTATCCTGTTCACAACTGATGACATATGCAGTTTAAAAACGGTTCCCATAGAAGTCAATAGCCTGTAATCTGTACCTGAACCTGAAGTCACTGCTCAGAAATTGGACATGACTCTTTTCAAACCGCACATAGGTGTCCGTTTATGACACAAAGAATAGCTGCGATTCAGAGGATCGCAGCTATTCTCTGGTCATTCACAGTTTATGACACTCAGGAGATCAGTGGAGAACATGTTCAGCCCTTCACTGGAGATCTGTGTTCTCCCTCCAGATTCTCCAGCCTAGAGCTGGAGAATCGGAGGAACCGCAAACTAAGCAGCGAAAATTTACCTCTGCTTAGTAAACTGATCTTTTACTGTAATCTCCCGAGATTATAGTAAAAATCAGCCGTTTTCCAGTGTTTGTAGACCGTTGTCCAGCGTTTGTAGACCGTTCTCCCTTCGTTTGGAGAACTGATCTACACTGCTTCATAAACTGCATTCACAGGAGAACTGTGTTCTCCGAGAATGCCGGAGAACTGAGCAGAGATCTATTAACGCTGGTTCATGAACGGACACCTGAATCCGCATTGAATCTGCACCGCCAGTGCTCCGGACATATGTGAACAGGCACTATAGGAAGCAATGCTATTTCACATGTCATGCGGATTGGCTGCGGTTCAAACTGGCACATATGCTTGCATTGTATAACGTACCACTGGGATACACATTTCCCTGATGAAGATTCGTACCAGGAAACGCGCCAGATTTTTATATGCATTACTATGTTATTGTATCTCGTGGTTTCAGGTATATGATCATGGACCAACTTTTCATTGTGGTTTTATATGCACAGTGTTTTGTTTTTCATTTTTAACTAATTGTAATAAAGAGTTTTGTTATTTGGTGCCTTTAAAGTCTTCCATTCTTTGCAATTTCCCCCTTGAGTATATTTTTTGGGATGTGGCACCATACCTACCCAGACTGGGCTCTATCTCTTTACAGGAATAAATAGATTGTGTAAAATCAATCCGGTATATAATACAATAATCATGAGGTCCACTAAATCATGCAGTGCACTACATGGTCTAAAGTTATTTTAAAGTCAATTTTTTTTCACTTAATGCATTGCTTGCAATAAGGTAAAAAATCTTCACCTTGCTTTTTTTGTCCCCCCCCTTGACCTGAGTCCTCTCTTGATCCAGTGCTGTGCCAGTCTGCAGCAGCAGTGATCTTTCTCCCTGCTCTCAGAGGACAGACTTTTAACAATGGAAGCAGGGAACATGGCTGAGCAGTGCTGTGTGTGTCTATGGACGCACACAGTCTGGCACAGGAGCACACCCACATGTGCGCTCTTGTAGCACACTGCTTGCTATGGGGGCACACACAGGAAAGGAGGAGCAAACAGCTTTGGTGGGGGGACCCCAGAAAAGGACGTAAGGGGTCACTCTGTGCAAGCTAATTATAAAACTTTTTTCAGTTTATAAGTTAAAAAATTCCAGCCTTTAATATCACTTTAATGCAGAAGAGACAGCATGAAACATTTTAAAATAGAGACTTTAGTTCCGCTATGAAGGACATCTATAGTCACCGAATACATTTTCATTTTATAACAACAACATTGTAATAGCAATACAAACAATAGTTATTTTGGATAATCCAATATAAGCTTATTTGCAAATATTCCTTCATTTGTGAGGTCTGCCTGTTTCCTGGCCATCTCTTTCCACAACCTCCGGGATTTCCTGCATGATTTGCAGCTTCTTCTCTGCTGTTTACTTTCATTCTCTAAGAACTACATATCCCATGGTACCTTGCTGCCTGCAGGTGGTGATTTCTGCACTGACTGCACCTCCTGAAACTCCTCCCCTCAGCCCCTCTGTAGTTCATAAGGCAGGCTCTGTGAAATGTGTGACACAGCAGTGCCTATTCACATTGCATAGTGAATATGTGTCACAGAATTCAGGGAAGTAAATGTGTGGGGATCTTTATAAAGTAAGTTTACAAACATCAGGATTGTTCAGATTAATAGGAGTAGGCTCAAAATAACTGAAATATAATGTGGAAATGCATAGATGATTTTCCATTTTTGACCATAGATACTCTTTAAACACACAGTGGTTAAATGGTTAGAATTTCTGCCTGACATTACTAAGGTTGTTAGTTTGAATCCCAACCACAGCACTACCTGCCTGGAGTTTGCATGTTCTCCCTGTGTCTGTGTTGGTTTCCTCCGGGAACTTCGGTTTCCTTCCACGCTCCAAAGACATGCTGCTGGGTTAATTGGCTCCTATCTTAAAAAAAAAAAAACATTGGCCCTAGTATTTGTATGTATGAATGGGAGTAAGGGATCTTAGACTGTACACTCCATGAGGGTTAGGGACTGATGTGAATGTGCAATATATATGTAAAGCACTACATAAATTGACGATGCTATATAAGTACCTGAAATAATAACTGCAAATGTGTGTTTAGTGTGAATGTACTTTCCCGTTAGCTAATATCTTTGTTCTTCCTCCTAGGACCACCTTCTGCACCAAGGAACCTTATTTCTAACATTAATGAAACATCAGTTATACTGGACTGGAGCTGGCCGCTGGACACTGGGGGTCGGAAAGACATCACTTTCAATGTGAACTGTAAAAAATGTGGAGGAAACACAAAATTCTGTGAAGCCTGCAAAGGGAATCTGCGATTCATTCCCCGACAGATAGGTCTTACCAACACCACTGTGACAATAACAGACTTACTTGCACACACCAACTACACATTTGAGATTGAATCGGTAAATGGAGTCTCCGACCAGAGTGTATTGACAAGGCACATTGCCGCCGTCAGCATCACCACCAACCAGGCCGGTAAGTATGATACCTCAACTCCACTGCCAGTTAATTATGTGTACTCACTAAAAGCTTTAATATGATAATGCCATATTAAAATTATTTTCAATGTGTTTTAATCTGCAGCTTTCATTAAAATAATAATTCTTGTTCAGGCACTTTCTAATATAGGGTGACAACACTTTGTACATGTTACTATTTGTGCTCCTGCATTGTTACCCTATCACACTGGCTTCTGATGGAGATTACAAGAGGCTGTTTTAACCCACATTACAAATGTATATGCAAAAGTTGTCTCCATCAGGAAAACCGCACTGAGAAATGCCATACAGTAATCACTGGTGTGCGTGTAGACAGGAAGTGGCTGCAAAGGGGTTGCAGGAGATCAGCAGTACTGAGATGCAGCAAATGATCAAAAAATCTAAAGATGGTATTGGATAAAAAAAAAAGCTTAAAAGGCAACTGTTTATGATGCACAGGGGTTGGTTTACTAAAACTGTAGAGTGCAAAATATGGTGCAGCTGTGCATGTTAGCCAATCAGCTTCTAACTTCAGCTTGTTTAACCACTAGCCTACAGGGCACTTATACCCCCTTCCTGCCCAGGCCAATTTCCAGCTTTCAACGCTGTCACACTTTGAATGACAATTGCGTGGTCATGCAACACTGTACCCATATGACATTTTTATCATTTTTTTGAGACAGATAGAGCTTTCTTTTGGTGGTATTTAATCACCTCGGGGATTTTTATTTTTTCTTAAACAAACCAAAAACCACTGCAAATTTTGAAAAAAATATTTTTTTCTTAGTTTTTGTTATACAATTTTGTAAATAAGTGATTTTTCTCCTTCACTGATGTGCGCTAATGAGGCTGCAGTGATGGGCACTGATAAGCTGCACTGATGACACTAATAGGTGGCACTGATGGGCACTGATGAGGAGGCACTGGTAGGTTGCACTGATGGGCATTGACAGGCATCACTGATGGACACTGAAAGGCAGCACTGATACATGACACTGATACATGCCACTGATATATGGCACTGATAGGCAGCACTGACTGGCACTGATAGGCGGCACTGACTGGCACTGATAGGTGGCACTGATTGGCAGCACTGAAAAGTGGCACTGATTGTCATTGATAGGTGGCACTGACTAGCACTGATGGGTGACATTGAAAGGCAGCTCAGATGGGCACTGATATGTGGCATTGATGTGGCACTGATGGGCAGTGGCACGTGGCACTGATGGGCACTGGCATGTGGCACTGATGAGCACTGGCAGGTGGAACTTCTGGGGCCACACTGATCATCAGGGCACACTGATCATCAGTGCCCTGATGATCAGTGTACATGTCCCATCCACGGAAATCTGATTACCGGCTCTCCTGTCCTCTCGAGCTGTCAGCGTGACAGCTCGAGAGGAGAGAAATGCCGATAAACGGCATTTCCGTGTTTACATGTGATCAGCTGTGATTGGACACAGCTGATCACATGACCGAGCCGACATCTTCGGCTCTTTCCGTGATCGGCAGTGTCCGCGGCGATTGCTGCGCTGCGCGCCCCCTGACCCGCGCATGCGCAGTGAGAATGGTAGGACGTCACATGACGTCCTATCAGAACGAGAGAACCACCTTGCACCCGTCATTGTACTATAGGGCAGGCGGAAGGTGGTTAATTAAACTTTGGAAAAAAAAAAAGGATGACAACAGAAATCAACCAAGCAGTACATCTGCCTCCTTTTTTAATTTTTCTTACATTTTTTGTTCTTGTTTGATTTTTTTTTTGTCTGAGTATAGGTTTATGATTCTAACCTTGTTTAAACTGGACCTTCACGCTGAAAAACTGCTTTGCTCCATCGTATTGTTCCTCCTTTGTAATGTAGAAGAACAGCCCAGTGGGTTTTTTTTTTTTTTGCAGCTTTCACTACTATTCTAGTCCATGCTGCGCTTTGCCTCCATTCTGCTTAGGTGAAAATGACATGTACTCGCTTCTGTAACCACCTGGTATCACCACTTCACATTTTTCAGGAGGCTACAGGAGAGCGGTTGGAGGTAGAACCTGTTGATACGTCATTGAGGGCCGATTGCAAGAATCTGTAAAAGAAAACTGCCTCCTGATTATGTAAAAGCAGAAAATGGTGGCATGAGACCCAGAGTGGGCAGCAGCAGATAGGTGGATCACAGCAGACCAATTCTAGATTTAAAGGGTATGAGTATGTTTACTTTGGATACCCCATAAAAAAAATAAGTGGGCAATGAAAAATAAAAATATACAGAGGGGTGTAGTCCTAATTTAGAGTCACTTACTGTTGACTGATTCACAGCCTCTGCTGGAAGCCTGTTTCAAGCAATTCCTCTTCATTATCATAAGAAGGAGCCCTGGGATTACACAAACTCTGGGACTACCATGTTGTTATCGTTTACATAATACCAAAAAAAGGAGCAGGGTGGACTACAGGGTACACTATAGTTATACCTAGATGAAAAAAACCTTAGTCCTAAACACATAGGCTGTGTTCCCTAAAGGCATTTCAGGGTTCAGCTTTCAATTTTGACTGGAGAGCACCTTTATCAAGGCAGTACAAAGAGCAATTATGATGCCGCAGAGTGCTGCAATCCATAAGAACAAATTCAATTTCAGTTTACCGCAACATCAGCAAAATATCCTTTCTGATTAGTTTCTATGGCTTACTTTGTTTTGCACCTTACTGAATAAGAATGCATGTTTTACTGAATCATTTTCCACACAAGCTACAGCAAGGAAATGTAGTCTTTCACTCTGGAATTGATTCTCCTCTGAAATATCCAGTGGTCTGGCTCATCATTAACTACGATTGCTTCCTAATGTTTAGTTTTCTTGGCTACCACAAAACGTTTAATGAATCTGCAATTACTACCATTTGTTTCATCGGCTCCCAGCTAGTCATTCAGAATCAATTGCAGGGTAATGCAGTTGAGGAAAATATTTAAGGCTGCACAGGTCAACTTTAAGAGTGCAGCCACCACTTAAAAGACACGCATTGAGGAAGCTACGAGAGGAAATTAGAGCAAGATATTACTTACAATTTAGGAAACCTTATTCTGCCGGACACATCCTGAATAGGCCTATTTATAAAAAGCATACTTCAGAGGAAATGGATGCATTCTGTGGATACAAAAGAGACTGAAAATTAATTGTAACAGAGACAGAAGAGTAAATATTAATGAAAATTGGTGTTTAAGAAGCAATTTGCCATGATTACTGTGCAATAATAATTTGAAGTAGACGAGCAGGCGTAGAAATTATGCCAACAGTTAGTAACTGGTATTTAAGTTTATACTGATACTTCATATCAATAAAAAGTTCAAAATAATAAAAACATTCCTTTTACCTACAAACTTGCTCCCCCAATATTCAACATATATATATATATATATATATATATATATATATATATTACCTTATATAACAATATTGTGCAAAAATCTATGTACTAAGTGCAGTACAAAGCTAAGTGCTAATAGCAACCAATCAGAATTCACTTCACTTGATACAGGTTAATTCTGACTGGTTAATATAGATACAGTTCTTTGCTTTTAGCACTTTGCTTGTTGCAATATTTCAAGCTCAAGATAGTGAGTGTGATAAATATTTATAAGGTACATCATATCCAAAATTAATTCAACACTAAGAAATATCATAAAGCAATTTTAAAATGATAGAGCAAAGAGCTCGCCAACTATACCTAGATAAAGGTTTGTTAGCTGGCTCCAAAGGATCTAACCCAGAACACCAAATCTGAAGGATTCAGTTATTTAGAGCCTGAAGACAAATAGAGTGGAATTTAAAAGATTTGCTCTCCTTGTGATATAGTTGCATAGTTACATAGTTAATCTGGTTGAAAAAAGACAAAAGTCCATCCAGTTTAACCATAGAAAAAAAAAGTTATAATCCTATACCCACAGTTGATCCAGAGGAAGGCAAAAAAAATCCCAGCAAAGCATGATCCAATTTGCTCCTGCAGGGGAAAAAAATTCCTTCCTGATCCCTGAGAGGCAATCGGATATTCCCTGGATCAACTTTAACTATAAATGTTAGTATCCAGTTATATTCTGTGTATCTAAGAAACAATCTAGGCCTTTTTTGAAGCAATCCACTGAGCTGGCCAGAACCAACTCTTTAGGGAGTCTATTCCACATTTTCACAGCTCTAACTGTGAAGAAATCTTTCTGTGTTTGGAGATTAAATTTCTTTTCTTTTCCCCCAGACGATCATTGAACTAGCTTAATGTTGCTGACTCTTTTAAGGCAGTGCTGGCAATATAAAATTCCCAGCATTAACATAGGTCCAGCTCTTAAAATGAACACTAGGATTTGGCATAAAAGACCAGTGCCTAGGAGCTTCACGTAATAGTAGGCAGCATTTTCCCTGTACTGTCCCCATGTTATCCCATAAGGTGCTTCATTACTGTAGAGAAAACAGAGTTCAAGGGTCATGACACTCATAGGGTCATGGGTCCCTAACATACCCACTACAGTTATTTGGGTCATGGGTTCCTAAATTACCCACTACAGTTATTTGATCCTCCATATTTGGTCATATTTGTACACACTAAAACAGCCTAACTACTTATTTTCCCTGCTCCATTTTTTTAAAGCCGAATTGCACTAGACTTCTGAAAGGGGCAAGGCACACTTAGGTCCACCTAGTCAGAAGGCCAGGCAGACTAAACTGCTCATGATCAACTGGAGCTGACCAACGAGTACTACCAAATGAGTACCAAAGAGAGGACCCCCACCCTTCCCCCTCAAGGCTGCTGAAGGCAAAGAAAATCCCAGTACTTTTAATGTAAAAACTTATGACTCATTCGATATGACAGCACTGGGCCAATCACCATGCTATCACAAGGAAAAAGTACACCTTGAGCAACTGACAGCATACACAGAGCTGCTTTTGCTGTGACAAAAGAGAAAAAAACTAAGGTGACTATGTGGTGCTGAGGGTTAAGTTATTGCCTATGTAGGGCAAAGAAACTGGCTCACTTTATTGTCTGCTGGAGTGTTTATTATGGTCATTAGACTTACTGCGTCTGATTACATAAAGTGAGGTGATTTGAACCTATGTTTACTTTAAACATCCAATCAAGTGCAGAAAAATTTAAAAAACGTCACAATTAGATGTTTGAAGTCACTTCACCTCGTGCTGCCCATTAGCAAATCAAGCCTAGGTTCATTTAATCTCACTTTCACCTATTAAAATGTACTTTTTAGAGTAATAAATCAGGGTCATTAAATAGACCATTTATAACAAATTAGTAACCAAAGTGGTTATGTATAAGATTTTGTATAAGGAGACATTTTGGTGTACTGTTCCCTGAGACAAACTGAAGAACAGTATTAAGTTTGAAAGTGCTATAATGTGGAACCAAAGATTGTCTACTCTGATCATTGTAAATGAAGTCTTAGAACAATGGAAGTCCTGTATTAAATATACATTAAATTGCTGGAATTTCAGTTTAGTGGCTTTGGTAACAAAATATTAGGCCATTGTAGTCACCCAAATAAAAATAAAATAACTGTAGCAAAAGAAATTGCATGCACACTCAGTGTCCCGTAATTATATATCAGTGTTTTTATGTGTGTGATTCCCTTATAACCCTTCGGCTTCACGTTCTTGCCAAAATTGCACTTTAGTTAATCTAGCTCATAAAGGAAATCATCAAAATATATCTTTTAAATGGTGTGTGAAATGAAATATCATTGAATGCAGTAACTTACTTTATTAAAATGCTTGCAGAAATGTGTTCATGTTTATTGGAAATTTCACTATTTTGCTGTCTCCTGAGTGTTCCTCAAAGGTCTAAACAGCCTTTGTAAATAACAGTAGAAACAGTGGCAGCAGGCTGAGCACCACTGATAACTGTAAAGATATTATTTATTTGCATATGTACCCAACCTTGATTTCAACAGCATATTTAGCTTTGGCCAGATTAAAGCGGAAGTTCACCCAAAAGGGGAAGTTCTGCTTGTTTACGTCCCCCCCCCCACCACCTCCCTCCACTGCCACATTTGGCACTTTTTGGGAGGGGGGTAGGTAGTGGGTACCTGGTTTTGACAGTTACCTGATCCTACTTCCTATCAGATGCGCCGCCATGATCTGAGCCAGAAGTTTGCCCCCTCCATGCCCTGCAGCCTTCTGGGACACTTCACAGGTCCCAGAAGACTGTGGGACCATTCACAAAGCACAGCGCGCTTTGCACAAGCGCAGTATGAAACCGGCTGTGAAGCTGCACGGCTTCACTGACGGTTTCCCTTACTGAAGATGCGGCACATGCATCCAAAACAGATTGAAGAATCGGCTTGGGTGAAGACATCAGCAAGTGTAATTTTATTAAAATTCAGCAGCTACAGTATATGTAGCTTCTGACTTTTAATTTTATGGGGGGGGGGGGGGGAGCCTGGAGCTCTGCTTTAAGCCCAGTTATGGGATAATAGTAATTACAATTGCTCAAGGTCAACCAGGTCAGTGGCTTCACCATTTCTACTTGCAACTAAC